GTGTCTTTTGCCCACTTTTTAATGGGGTGGTTTGTTTTTTCTTGCTGATTTGTTTGAGCTCTTTGTAGATTCTGGATATGAGCCCTTGATTGGATGTATATTTTGTGAACAGAAGCTTTTAATTTAATCAAATCTCATTTATTTATTTTTGTTGCTGCAGTTGTCTTTAGGGTCGTAGTCATAAATTCTTTGCCTAGGTCTATGTTTAGAAGAGTTTTTCGTACATTTTCTTCTCGAATAGGACTTTATTTTATAGGCAATGGGAAGTCACTGAAAATTTTGAACAAAAAGGTGATATAATCACAATTATACTAAGGGTAGAGTGGATTAAATAAGGAATGGGATTGATGGTAGGAAGAAGCGTTAGGAGGTTATTGCAATAAGGCACAAGGAGGTAATAAACTCCTGATCTGCAATATTTCACATCTTAATTTCCCCTTATCACCTATTCCTGGATTTCCTGGGTTTTATCTTGTATATATATGATATATACTCTCACACAGACATATGTACGTGCATTAAGATAGGGCTACGGTTGATAATGCTTCTTTTTTTTTAAATTTCAGATTTTTCATTATTCGTATACTGCCTCATATGTGATTTACAATATACATACTAGGTAAGTTATTTGATTTTCTGGTTTTCATGAGCAATTGTCTGACTAAATTGTTGGTGTAGATGTCAATTTGTTCATGTAAAAATATTTACATTTTTTTAAGGGAAGTTTGGGAGTTAAATCCTCCAGAAGTAGAGGACTCCGTCTTGCAGTACGCAGCCTGGGGTGTCCAAGGGCAGCAGCTGGTAAGCACAGGCATTGGTATGCACCACATACTGCCAACCGTGGTCCTATGGAAAATGTTTACAGAAACCATTTCCTTGGAAAAATTTTTCTCTTACACTTGTTCTAACTTATGAACATATCAAATGATGCTAGTATAATTTACCAATTAATTAAAAAAAATATTTTATCAAGTAATGTATGATTAAACTGCTAGTTAATAATGAAATCTACAAGAGATTCACAGTTACCAGGGCATAGTTCTGTGCAATTTCCATTATATAATATTGTCAATTTGCATGCAAAACTCAAAAAAGCGATTGTTTATTCTTAAAGGATTGTTCAGGATAAAAATCTTAGAATTATTTAGTATTCTCTTAAGTGGGGAAATTTTATCAATTATATTTTGATATTATCAGAAATTCAAAAGATAATTATTGATGTATAAAAGCAGTTTGAACAAAATTATATTCTTGGATATGTCTCATGGTGCCCATGTAAAGACTTCCCCAATGGGATGTGCTCAAGGAGTACTACTGGTTGCTCATATGGTACGTGTATGCTCAAATATATTAATACTGAGCATCACCAAATTGATTTCTAAATCTTATCTTTAGTGTTTATATACCTAACAACAGCAATGAGAGAGTCCCCTTGGTTCCATATCCTTACCAACACCTAGATTTTCCACACTTTTAAATCATCACCCATATGATGATTGGTATGAAATGATATTTTATTATGGCTTTATTAACATTTACTCTTTCCTTGAATTCTAATGAGCTAGGGCAACCTTGCATATAGTTACTGGCTATTTCTGGTCCCTCGTACATGAAATATCTACTAATATATTTTGCCCATTCTTATTTTTATTCTTTTT